TTCCTGCACCTTTCTTCCAGAGGGCTTTGTTTGGACACAGGACCATCTTGTCCCTGTATAGTTCAGATGGGAAGTAACTAAGCGAGAATGCCTTGGAGTGCCTCTCAACAACTAAGGGCTTGTGAATATTTCACTTCTTTGCCTTTTGTTGGAACAATCCTAAGTTGTGTTCCATATGGCCTCTCCAAGGGTCTCTGGAGTAATTGAGCCCAATTGCCCACACAGTAGGGTGATCAACTTATCTCAGGTTTTCTAGAACTGTCCCAGTTTCAGCATTGGAAATTCTGTGTCCTGGGATATCCTACTGATTTCATGCAAACTGGGATAGTTGATCACTAATAGAGGTAACTGGCTAGTTGATGTTCTCGCTATTGGTTCCCCACTTCCTGTTTTGTTTCCTTACAACTTCACAATGATTCCTGGAATTATCTTCAAAATAAACTACAGTTGCTTCCTGATTTACAATGAGGTTATGTCCTGATAAACCTTTGTAAATTGAAAATATGATTACACCGAACCTACCAAACATCATAGCTTAGCTTAGCCCAACTAAAACGTGCTTGGAACACTTACACTGGCCTACAGTTGGGCAAAATCATCTGGCAACACAATATACTATACAGTATTGGTGTTTTTACCCGTGTGTGGCTGAGTGAGAGCTACAGCTCATTGCCATGACCCAGCAACACATGAGAGAATCACACTGTTTTCTACTGAATGTCTATAGTTTGTGCACTGTTGTAAAGTTGAAAAACTATAAGTGGAACCATTGAAAGTCAGTGACCATCTGTATTGCATTCATATTTTTGTCTCAGGACCTGCTTTCAGGGGAATCAAAGTGAAGCCAGTTGATGATATCCATGCTTGTAAGGGTATAGATAAATAATGCGACTCATACATTTTGTGGTAGAAGCAGAAATTTTCACAGCCCTTTGGAGGGTAATTGAACAGGTCATGAGCGTTTTTTAAAAGTGCATACACTTTGAATCAGGAATTCTTTGTCTAAGACTTTCTTTGATAGTAATGTCCAAATGAGCACAAGGATATAAACATGAAGATGTTCTCTGTGGATTGTCATACAATAAAAAAATTAAAAATACCTGTCAATGTCTGTCAACATATCACTGATACAAATGATTTAGCAAATTGTAGTATAAGCATTCTATAAAACACTATGAGGCTATTAAAGAATCATGAGGTCAGTCTGCATTTACTGGTAAGAGATGTTTATGATATACAAGTAAGCAAAGAAAATCAAATTAAAAAGATGTGTATCATGCTTTCTATATATCTGTATTTTTTCTCTCTCTTCCTGAAAACACACACACACACACACACACACACACACACACACACACACACACACACAAACAATTAACATAATACCACTATGGAGAGAGATGGCTTAGGCGTAAAGGTGAAACAGAAGGGGTTATAAAGGAAATTGCCTCTGTTTATTTAATGATGATCATGATGAAGATTTTTTTTTTTTACAATGGCTGCAAATTATTTTTAAAATGGAAAAAATAAAAAATGCACTGCGTTTGGAAATGAACACTGAAGCATTCTTCACCATTTAAAATTTTCATAAACTCCATCAATATTGGCAGCAAGAGAACTCGAGATTTGAGCTGCGTGTTCTTTTTCTGTCTCACATATACCAGTGTAAAAGTGTGTTGTAACCAAATTTAAGCATATAGGTGACTTAAAAGGAAATTCATTAGAGAAATTGTCCTATTCAATAGCTGGTAGACATCCAATGGCTGTTGACACCATTGGTTTATAATCAATTGCTTGCTCTTTTAAAGATGAGAAAGACCACATAGACAGAAGATATATTAGGCTGGTGTAAAAGTAATTGCAATTTTTGCAATCGAAAGTAATTGTAATACTTCAAACACTCATTACAGTTTTTACAAACAAAGAAGAAAAACCATAATTACAAGGGCAAACAGGAAATTAAAATCAACTCTAGATGTATACCTAAACCTTTTGCATTTGTTTTGTTTCTTTATTCAGGAAATTAAATGATGTTGAATGATAAAGGTCTGCAATCTCTTAAGTGGTTGAGAGGAAGTATGATATTGACTTAGGAGAAGACTATGGTAAATGGTGCTGTAGTCCGAAGAATGAATAGATTTGAAAAAAATGCAGAGAAAAACTGACCACAGAAAGAGTCAACTCATTGTTGCCTGTGTGTATTTTTGTCTCCAGTTTGTTTTCCATAGACTTCTATGAGTGTGGATGGTTTTGAGAGATTACACACTCACTAGTTACATTGAATCTAACAATGAAGTAAGAAAGATAAGGAGTTGTTGTTAAGAAACATGGTCTCTGTTTGGTTATGTGATTATGAGCAAAGCATCCTAAGTTTAACTTTCTGTAGACTGGGAATAATTATGTTAACTACAAGTTGCTCTGAAGATTAAATGAGAAAGTGTACACCAAATCACTTGGTTTTGATAGTGCTAGTCATGTTGATTTTTATTATTATTCTATTTCTATTTTTTAAAATTCTTGTGTTGGACAAATAATAGTAAGATAACCAAAAGACGAAAACAAACTTTATTAATACATGATTTTTGTAAAACTACTCCTTATGACCTTTAACCTGATCAGAGTGGCTGGTGGATATCCATGGATACTCAAGAGGAACAATTAAGCTGACATTGACAAGCAGCAGCAAATAGTGTCTATTAAACCTGCCTGATTAATGATGTAGGGCTCATTCATTCAACTGATATTTATTAAGTATGAACTATGATTCATGCAGTGCTTTAGATGCTATAGACAGACAATATTGAGTACAACAGGAATTCCACCCCAACAACTTAGAATCTAGTGCAATTTGAAGACATTAAAAATAACAATCCAAGTAGAATACCAACAGCTGGAATCATTCAGTCCTTTTTTCTATTTAAAATCTATTTAATTGTACCTCCAAAACATGGACTTTAACTATAAAAGTATAGAGAAGATTTTGTCTAGTTCTAAAGTTCTATGAATTACTACCCTCAACTTGGGGTTAGCAGAGAAGGCTTCACAGAAAACTACTTTTGAGTTGATCTTTGAAGAATGGGTAAGATTTCCCCAGGGAGGGAAGAGGAACACGGCTTTTCAGGCTGTGGGAAGTATGCAATTTCTCTGGCAAGTAGTAAAGGGTGGAAGGATGAAAAGGGGATTGAAAGTTGAAATTTGTAATCATATGTTATTACTAGCCAAATTCTCTGTCTCAGTTGTCTTTATCCTCTCTCCACTCAGCACTAACTGAAGTTGGAGATACTGGAAGAGTGATTCTGCTTACTCTTAGGGGACATCTTACAAGCTAATGTGAATGGAGGACCACTGAAAAATCCTCCTAAACTCCAAATCCTGGGACTTCAAATCTGCTGCTATGTCAAAAATTTTCATCATGATGATTAGGGCTTTAGTTTAATTCATAGAGGGCATTCTTTTAAAGATATTCATAAAATTGGTGATGATGGCTTTGTTAGTGACCAAGATGATAACACTTTTCTATGAAATCATTCATCCAAATTAGAAGGATGTAGGAATTTCTTAGATAGGAAAGAGAAAAAGAGGAATGAGCTGGGGCAGTGGTCTTTGGCTTGAAATTCCTAAACTCACTGGGAATTGACATGAACGTTCATATCAATTGGTATAATAATAATAATAATGATAACAATGCCTGTGGTTACCACAGCAGCAAAAGCAACAGCAAAAGCAATGAAAAATCAGTTTTCATTGAGTGCTTATGTTATGCTTGTGTTTCTTCATTGTCACCATACCGTATGGGCTTGATTTATTGTTCTCACCTTCTAGATAAAGGAACTGAGACATGAAGAGGTCAAATAACTTATCAAAGATCACAGGACCAATTAGTGGCATAACTGGAATATGAACTTCTGTCAGTGTGACTTGAAAGCCCATGATTTGAGAACACCAAGTCACCGAGGTGACAGTTGAAACGAACATTGTTTACAGCATACCTTTATATACATTCAGAGCTGGGTACATAATAGAATCACTCTAAATAAGGGTAGTGGGTGAGCCATGGCTCCAGTCCCCTTTTTTGGTCACCCCTGGTTCTTGAGAAGTTATGGATACTAGGGAGCACTTTGAATCAATCCCAGTGTATTTTCACTCTGAGTTTCTTGTGGTAGATTGTGACTGTAGTGGTCTCTCCTGCTGGTGTGTACCGTCTTTATTACAGCTACTAATAGCTTGCCTCTCTTTGTCTGAATATTGCTGTCTCTAACCAATAGTATAGGGAAACCAATATGATACTAATTAGGGCATTCCAGGAACAGGTAAATTTCAGACTATTCTGGGCTACTTTCATCAGTTAAAAGCAGGTTATATGATTGCCAACAAGAACTGTTATTCTAACCAGTGGTCATTTTGCCCCCATGGACAACGTCTGGAGGCATTTCTGATCATCATGATAAGGATGGGGATGCTTTTGTCATACAGTGTGTAAGAGGCTAAAGATACTGCTAAACATCTGACAATGCACAGAACAGCCCCCAAAGCAATTATCTGGCCTAGAATGTCAGTGGTGTCAAGGTTGAGAAACCCTCTACTAATAAGGCACGTTGGAAGTTAATGTAATTTTTACAAAATTTTTAAATGGCAATTAGAGGAAAACGAGCACATTTTTATTTCCCCTTCCAAAGTTATTGTTATTCTCTCACAACAGTCATGCTATTTTACGTGAAATGGGGTTTACTCACATTGTAGGTATTGTTATGGTTCTTCTTTTTATTTTTTTGGAACATGCTTGGGCTGCATGTGTTTCCTGGAAGCAGAGGCATTCTTAAACACAGGATAAGGAAGATATAGAATCTTATCTATATCTTCCTTATCCTGTGTTTAAGAATATCAAGAATATATTTAAAAGTCAGCTTTTCCCCACTATGTAGCATCAAGGCAAAAGAAACTCAGTTCCTTCAGAACTAATTTGACATTGCTTCTTTTGTACCTTATTCCGCCATTCACAGGCATAAATAATGAGTGGCAAGAGCAGGATGAACAGCTGTAAGCAGTGTCGTGGTCATGTATCCAACATGTGAGAGCAGCTTTACAGTAACATCGGAATCCTTGGAAAGATGGCTTTTTCTTTCCTAAAATAATAATAGCAGAGTCAGATGATAACACTGCCCAGGTAAACTCTTTGTCTCCCATTTTCTAGAAAGCCCTGCTCTTAAAAAACATAGAAAGAACTCCTAATGCTTAATTCTTGTCATCTTTTCAGATGAAAATCTGTAACTCCCATTTCCTATTATAATTACCCAAATAACATAATTTTTGTTAGCCTGCCTTATCTAAATTCAAAGTTGTCAAGTTTGGTGGAAATATAGGCTTGTTTATTATCTATATACCTTCATCTGTAATCTATATATATATAGTACTTTAAGAAAATGAAATAAAATGTTTCATTTAAATAACTCACGTTCTTTGGCTTTTGCCTCAAGCCCTATTTCCAACCCTTTAATCTTATATCAATCATATTCCTGGAATATTTGTTATAAATGCACACTTCTGAGCCTTATTCCTCAGGCTTCTAAATCAGAACCTCAAGAAAGTGGGGTCGTGGGGAATTTGGAGTTTTTACAAGATTCCCAGGTGATTTTTATGCCCTGCAGGTTTTTTACAACCACCAGCATGGTGAGATTGGCCCTCCTCTCAGATTATTTTAATTAGCTTTTCCAGTTGCTTTGGAGAGTAGCTTTGCTTTCCACAATACCTGGCTGTCTTACCCAAACAGCTATCTGTTCTCCTTGTTCTTTGGTTATTCATAGACAAGATGCAAATGGTAATATTACCAACATATAACAAGAATGCTTGGAAAATTGAATTCCTAGTGCTGTAAATAAAAGAGCACATAAATGTTTGAAATATGCATTATTTAAAAAAGAGAGAAATGGCTGATGGAAAACACATCTGTTTCCATTTGGAACTGATACACTTCAATCAGTGTTTGCCTCAGAAGAGTATCTTATTATAAAAGCAAATATACACCGGTAATAGTAGTATATGCTTTACTATGTTGTACTAGACACATATATGCTTTAATTCTTACTGTGACAACTCTTAAAAGATATACATTTGTAAAGTGTTCGCTTCAAGTCAATCCTCTTTTAGGCATGATGTCCTTACAGCAATTTCCAGCATCATTAGGCCTAGAAATATAAAGTACCATTGCTTGGTGTGTGTTGAAGAAATAGGATAGATTCATAAATCATTCAAGGATCCTTCAGCTCTCTGCATAAGAGGAACTGAAGAGAGTGCCTCCGGATAGATAGACATCTGGGCCAATTTCACCATGTTTTTATAATGCCACACAGTCTTGATTTAGAGGGCAACAGGTTTTGACAGTTTCTAATTCTACATTCTAAGCATCACTAATTCAAGCTATAATAATGGCTTTGGGATCTGTATCTAAACTTGGTATAAGATTTCAAGATCATGGTAGATTGAGATTCAGGCTGAACAGATGAAAGGTTTTGATAAAAAAGGACCCAAGGACGGGAAAGATGTTTCTGCTTTTTATTAATGTTTTACTTGAAGTACCTTTTCGGTTGCTTTTACTTTTTCAAATTAAATTTTCAAATTATCAAGCTATCTCTGGCTTGATAATTTGAAGATTTAATTAATTATTATACACTGAACATATGTGCGCATTGTGAGCACACATAAAGGAATATTAAGATGTCTTATAGGAATTTCTCCTCTATCAACTCAAGAATAGTGTGTTGTCTAGGCACTGATATGTACAGAAGGAAACTGACTCAACCATGGCCCCCAGGGTCCCTTGAATCTAGAAGCCATCACTGCTCCTGGAACTTTGCCCCCAGCCTGGCTGAACAGGATAATGCCCTGAGGACACTCGCTGCCCAAATCCCTGCTGAATGATGTTGAAAGTGAGGATTCAGTCATGGCATCTGCCTTCCTTGGACAGCAAATGAAGTACTGAAATGGGAACTAACTTACTTAGAGCCTGACTCATGGAGAATACAGAGGCAAAATCCTTCTAAATGTTAGTATTAGTTCAAGGGGATAAGGATATATAGAGAGACCCCTAAAGACCACTCGGGCCGCCTGGTGTAGATGAGCTAAATAGTACATATTAGTCAATATTTGAATGCATTTAGCAAGGAGACCAGTCAGAATGGCAACAAAATATTAAAAATGCCACACTGACTGCATCCTGATGGCCACTGGCACTGTGTTCACCATTGCCGAGGACACTGCATGCTAATCATGACCAAGGTAACTGAACTATTAACATGTGGTAACTTTTTTCAAGCCTCACAGTAATCCCTGTTATTTTTCTACTAAATTCCCCCTTTAAAACATGGAGAAACTGAGGCTTAGCAATGTTAATTCTTCTAAGATCACGCAACTAGTAGGGTTGGGCCTGATTCTGACCCAGGCTGTCCAATTTTAGTCTGTGCTCCTACTGCAATGTTTGATGTTGCCTTAGGGAGAATATCTGTAGAAACTTGCAAGCAGATAAATGGGAGTGAGTTGGTCTAATTGTGTTTGTGGAATAAGAAATAGTTGACTGTCATTATTTAGGAACTGGTAACTGGGAGTTCAGGACCCTAAACACCCTCCCCCGCAAAAAAAACTTCTAGAATCTTTTATTTGCAGCTAGAGAAGGTAAGTTGCATTGCCAAACACCCTCAATTCCTTCACTATTCCAGAGCTAAACACAGGTAATGTTTATTCGTTTGAGTCTCAGATGGCTAGAATGACCCCACATTTTGTTATTCTATTATTTGGCATTTTGCCATGTCCTGCCTGATCTGTTGAATATTTCTGTGTTGGGCCTGTCTGGGTGCTGACTACTGGAGTAAGAAATGCAATGAGAATAAACCTCTCTTGTATCAGAGATGTCCTGATCCCCATGCAGGAGAGTGCTCATCTGTGATAATGCCACGGCTGGTTTCCTCAGTGGATGCTCCAACACACAGACGCAGGCTGGCATTTATCCATTTTCTCATATGCTACCTACTTGTTATTTGTTCTAGACAGAAGCTTGCCTTTCCTTGATTAGATATTTCCTGCTTAGCCACAAGGAAATTACTGCTTGTATTTCCTATTCAATCCCTGAAACTTAGATTTAGTCTTTTAAAACAATGTTTACATTTCCTGTTTGTTTATTTCCCTCTTAAATCAGCCTTGTATAATTATGCATTTAGCCTTTGCCTGACAGTAAGGGCTGTGGGACATCTGTCCCAGCTAAACATGGATGTTTTTATTTTCATTTTCCAATCTACCCATCACTTTGAGAACAAACTCTATGTAGACTTTCTTCCCTAAGTTCTAAACTGGGTAATATATAAAAATGTCATTTATCTTTGAATTCCTGATGTTTCAAACCCTACGTAGCAGATGCTTAATAAATATTTATTTTAAAAAGAATGAACTTAAAATGGATTAGAAGATTAGATTCTTCAGGTAAAGAACTTCATAATCAACTATCCATGGGGACTTTCATACTATCGTGTTGTGCTCTGTCTTGGAGGCCTACCACGGTGCTGCATTCCATGTACTGTTTTATGATGTTGATTTGCACAGGCTTGAACTGTGCAGTGGAGTCTAAGTGGTAATGTTTGGCAAATAGGAGGGATCTTTAATTTGCTTTCAGTGATTCAAACATATTTCCATAACAACTGTGTTGTTTTGCTTCCTTATTTTATTTTTAGTAATTTAGGCTTGCTTAATCACAGACTGGTCTGTTATATCTTGCATATTTGAATTTTTACAGCTTCTCTTTTAGTGCATGTTATTTGGTTATTTGCCTGTACAAGTGGAAGAACCAACTTTATAATTACTTACATATATCTAAATCCCATAGATTTACTTTTCTGACACTTTTAAACAACATTCTGGGAAAATAATCAGCCAAAATAGTTGACTACATTGGTTAATTAATTTCAATCCAAATATGCAATTTATAGGTACAGCTTAAGATATCTAAAATTAATATCCTAAGGTTGAAAAAATCTCTGCAGCAGAGCCTTGATGGGCTTATATTTGCTTGATTAGAATCTATGACTGCAGAAAGGACTTTAGTGTTCTTGCAGGGTATAAGCAGAGTTTGTCTAATGTTTATTCTTGTGTAGCTCAATACTTACGAATTATAATGATGACGGGCATGTTTTGGCAGGGGCTACCAAGTGCTAGATAGGCACCCTGGGTCTCTCCCAGACGTGATCTCGATGATCTTCTACTTCTCTATGCTAACTTTGTAAAGGGTGAAAACTTTGAAACTTTTTACCACAGTTTCTATGCCAAATGAAGTGGAAAGAACATTGGCCCTGGAATCTTAAAGCCTGCATTTCATGTTCTACTCTATACTAACTAACGACGTGACTTTTAGAAAATCTCTTTGCCTCAGGCCTTCCTTACCTGTTAGAGTAATATAAAAGTTCAACTAAATGACCTCTCACAATGCTTTCAGCACAGGCATGCTGTGAGGTAAATGTGCTTTATTCATATCCCTGAGTTTGGAACAATATTATCTTGTTGAGCAATGGAAAATTGAGCTAGTCTTTACGTAGCAAAAGAGAACCTGGGGCTGCCTGTTGCCTTTAATCCAATCAGGAAGATGTGGGCACTAACTCCTGGGAGCATAAAAGATAAAGTAGCTAATAATGATGTGAGGACCGTAGTGAATGACCAATTACTAAGTGTCAGGTGATATGCGGTGTTCAGATATTATCTTACTTATTCTCACCACAACCCTGTGAAGCAGATTTTTTTTTTTTTTTTTGAGACGGAGTTTCACTCATGTTACCCAGGCTGGAGTGCAATGGCGCGATCTCGGCTCACCGCAACCTCCGCCTCCTGGGTTCAGGCAATTCTCCTGCCTCAGCCTCCTGAGTAGCTGGGATTACAGGCACGCGCCACCATGCCCGGCTAATTTTTTGTATTTTTAGTAGAGATGGGGTTTCACCATGTTGACCAGGATGGTCTCGATCTCTTGACCTCGTGATCCACCCGCCTCGGCCTCCCAAAGTGCTGGGATTACAGGCTTGAGCCACCGCGCCCGGCCGAAGCAGATTTTACATGTGAGAAAACTGAGGTCTAGAGAGCTTAATAACTTGCCAAAGATCAGGAACCTGGTAGTTGTTTGAACCAGAATTCAAATTCAAACTCAGCCTGAGTCTAACAGCCAACTTTGATCTCTTAAGTTCCACTGCCTCTATCTGCAAAATTCTCTTCTTCATTTAAAAAATATTTCTTGTGGATGTATGCAATGTTATCAGGTATTGCTCTGGAGTAGATGTTTGGTATAGATCAGAGAATAAATAAAATGCCTTTCCTCATGGAGCTTATATTCTAGCAAGGGGAGAGTATCAGTAGACGTAATAAATAAATGAGTTACAGGTATTGATCAACTTACCACCTATGCAACTTACGACCATTCGACTTTACGACCACAATCGCTAGCCACGACTGCTCAGTGTCTGGCAGCGCAAGCATTGCCCAGCTGGGCGTACGACAGTGCGGACCAGCTTCCGGCAGCACTACCATCTCTGCGTGCACCATTTCAACTGTACATATAGCCTACTCAACTTACGACCAAATCGTGTTACGACTGGTCCGTGGTCCCCACCGTGGTCGTAAGTCGAGCACTAGCTGTATATGGTGGGTTAGCGGGTTGTAAGTAATATGGAAAAAGAAAAGCAAAGTTAGGTGAAGGGAGCTGGGAATGCAGTGTGGTGGATTATAATTTTCAGTTAAGCGTTCAGGTGGGCATCATTGAGAGGGTAAGTCTTGATAAAAGTCTTGAAGGAAGAGAGAGAATTAATTATACAGATGCTGGGTGGAAGAGCATTCAAGGCAGAGAGAATAGCAGGACCCTAAGTGGGAGAGTGTGCCTGGTTTTAGCAAGTCACTTATGTATGACAGAGAAAAAGTCGCAATGAAGAGAACATTGAGATCCAAATTTAGACCCTGACATTCCTTCTCATGGGTGCGTTTATTTGTTTCAGAAGCAGGTTAATTCTGTTCTTTCTTCTTGTCATTTCTTTTTTCTCATCAGTATGTTCCATCCTGCTTTCCCAAAAGCCTGCTTGGAAAATTTCTTGTTTCCTGCAAGAGGCTTCATTTTCCTTGTATCTAATGTAGCAATTCTCAAGCTTTCTGATGCATGGACACTTTTATTCTTTTAGTAAAGGATAGAAGTCACTGCCATAGGCAGTGGGTCAACATGTAGCCCAGACTATGGAAACAAAGAATATTCTCATCCAACTATTCCCAGTATTGTCCTTACAGAGCTAGAAGTGAGGGGCTCAGTCAATATTCTGTACCTTAGGACAGTGCTGCTTCCTCTTTTATATGCCTCCGAATCACTTGGAGATCTTGTTAAATGTAGATTCCAGTTTAGTAGTTTCCGGCATGGGGCCTGGGATTCTACATGTCGTATGAACCCACAGACCACACTTTAGTTAGTGAGGATCTAGGGGTGAAATTGAACACCACAAAGATGGTTTGACCCTGCACTTCTAGCTAGGGCTGTACTATCCAGCGCAACCAAGCTTGCTAACTAACTTATGCATCATCAGAGGATGAAAGGGACATTGAATAAAAGGAATGGACAATGTTACCCTCAGAGCAATCCAGTGGGCCTTATCAACCATATTCTACAATGGCCAGTGTCTTCATCTACCTCCTGCCTAAAACGTCCGGTCGCTTCCTAATTACCTGAAAACATAATTCAGACTCCTTGCCCTGGCTCACAAGACCCTCAGTAGTCTCGCCTCTGTGTTTTTCTTCGAACTTCACTGTAATTATTTCCCCTCACTCACCACAATGAAGCCACAGGGACATCATTTGAGTTCTAGAAGCTGCTTGAATCCTCAGTTTAATTGGCTATGGCTGTCAAATAGGCATTCTAACCACTTGCTCAAGCAAAGATGCTTTAAAAGAATTCCAAAAATGATTTTGCAAAGCATTTATTTAATAAATGCAGTAAAATTATGAGAAAAAGGAAAGATTTTTAGATTTTTTAAAAGCACCTATTCAATCAGCAATTTCTTATTACAGACCTACTGAGTGCCAGGTGTCCTGTTAGACATTTGAGAAATGTAAATGAACAAAACGATTGCTAGGATTCCAGCATGAGAGAAAGACAGCAAACAATAAACAGAATAAGTACATTAGGTGGTACTTTAAGAATATAATAAGTACTGTGAGAAAAACCAGTGAAGCAGAGAGAAGAGGATTGAGAAAAAGGAACCCAGATGGGAGGGGCA